CATATAGTAACACATATTCTATAGTGTGACATAATACATGTCACTAAAAATTACTTTTTCCGAAATAATAAATACAATATATGTTAATATATTATTAAAAAATGTAAGTATAGCTTATAGTAATATACAAAATATGTTGTTAAAACTTATTCAAAATCAACACTAAAATTATGTGTAACTATATATCAAATAGATATATACCTACATATATTATATCTATAATGACACTTTTTATATATTACATGAAAATGAAAATCCTTTGCATTTCTATATAAGGTTGATTCTGTCCCATAATATGATTTTTTTTTTATGGGAATGAAATCTTAAAGAATACAAGGCACTAACAATGGGACCAAGACAATAACTCTACATGATCTCATGCGTCATGACATTGTGTCGAGGCAAAAGATAATTTTTCTAAATTGGACAAATTCTAGTCATTTAACCTGTTAATGAAATAACAAATTAGTTGTCTTGTAATTGTGTTGTACAATTTGTTGAAGTCTAGTTATTTAAGTTGTTGATGAAATAACAAATTAGTTATCTTGTAATTGTGTTGTACAACTTGTTGACGTGCTTTAGAGAATAAAAGATTCTAATAAGATATTTAATATGACGAACATTATATTGATTCGAGTGAAATTCGTCTCGCAATTTTTTAGGAGGTGTTTGATACATAATTCTTTTTAATCTTTTTAGAAATCTAACGTCAGAAATGTTAGTTTTTTTCATGTTTTGTTTATTATTTAAATAATAATATTCCTAAAAAATATTATTTCTTGATAATAATTTTTGCATAAATTTTCTACAAAAATATTTTCATGAGAGATGTGAAAAACTAACTTTCTCAATGTAAAAATAAAGTTTTAAAGTGGTAAAAGTATCATGTTATATTTATTTGTTTATTTAATGTAATAAAAAATTCATGATTCTCAGGTAACATTTATAAACATTTCTAAAAATATTTATGACTAACCAAACATATTTTCATCATATTTGTAGAAATCATGATTTTTAGAATTTACGATTCTCATATATCATGTTTTTCAAACATGAAAAAATTTGTCATGTACCAAACATCTTCTTAAAATAAGATCTTGAGTTTGAGTTTTATAGATAGAAAAACATAATTGACAAGAAAATTTTCACGAAAACAATCAATTAGTCTCTCCAATAAAAATTATTAATTAATAATATTAATTAATTCTTTACATCTATAACATGATAACTAAGAAAAAAATTATTATTTACTAAGATTTTCCATATGCACCAATTGACAACATTGGTCGTGAAAAAATAGTAGATAGAACAAAGTTTATCATAAAATGAATACAATAAATAGGAATACCTATTGAAGTCTCCAAAATCTCTTTAGTAACAGAAAAGGGAGTTCAACAATAAGTTACCCCTAAAGAACCATCTAACCTTAAGAAAAATAATGTGTTTGAATTGAACTCATCCTCAAAACCATCATACTTATGATACTTTAATATATTGTGATTTTAATCGCATGTATATTCTATTTAAAGTGCATATATTGATATACAGTTTGATGATTTAATAAAGCTCAACGTCTTATACGTTTTGAATCTAATAAAGCTTAACATCTTTATATATATATATATATATATATATATATATATATATACCATTACAGTTCTCTCAAGGAACCTTTGCTAAAAGAAAAAGACTAGCACAATTGGCATGCTAATCTCAAACTTTAGGGCATAAAAGGTGTGCTATATATATAATTTCAACGAAATTTAAAGTTCTTAATAGTCTACGAATTTTTAAAAAATTTAAAAATTATTTTATATTTCATTTCATTAATTCAGATAGACAGATAATCATAAAAATATTTTATACGTTGATTTAAGTTAATAAAATGAAGTATTAAATAATTTTTAAAACTTTTAAAAATTTACAGACTTGATTTATACATTAAAAATTTTAAATTCAACAATTGAATCGTTAAAATTTAATGTAAAATATAAGTTTATTAAATGGAATATGTTAAATTTTTAAAAAAATAACATGAGACCTTTTTGTAATATATATGACCTTTTTACTTAAATAAAAATTAATAGCAATTTTTGTTGATGGTGAACTTAAAGCCTAATCTTTAATAGCTTTACCCTTACGCAAGTCTCGTAGGTCTAGTACAATATTGATGTGCATTACTTTTAGAGGTAGCTTATATAATAACAAAAGAAAAAAAAAATCATCAAATGACACTTGCATACTTAGATCCAAACTCGAGACTAATAATTAAGTTGAAACAATCTTTTATCAGTTGTTTCACATGGTTACTTTTGTGTCTAATTTCTTCTTTTTATTTCATTTCTTTTGTTAAAAATAAATTTATAGATTGAGAATTATGTAGATATTTAGAAAAGAGTTATGAAAGGCTACTATAAATAGTAAATTGGATGGAAAGTAACTTTATCGTTGAAGTTAGAAGAAGATTATAAAAAATTATAACCAATAGACCAATACCATTAAAAAATATTTCATGTTCAATTACTTTTTTATAAACATTATTCACACTATAAAATTATGATATTACTGATCTCGCCTAATGACAAAAGACTTAATTTGTTGTTACTTGATTTAATATATTATAGTATAAAATTAATAAAAGAATAAATAAACACAAGCATATTTCATGGATAGATGAAAAGTTAATTGACCACCAAACACTTTATTTTGTAACCACAAATAAGTTTCGGTTTTTGTTCTAGGTGACAAATGTTTTTCAAACACGTCAATCTATTGACTTATTTGAAAATAAAATTAATCATTAAATTTTTATATTGATTAAAAATATAAAAAAAAAGTTATTCATCTTTATGTAATAAACTTGTTTTTTTATTCTTAAGCATGAGAACAATCTCTCTATATATACTTTTTTTCTCACCTAACCACTCTTCTGTCTCGGTTTGTTTTGTATGTGTTTTGAGCTTTTTTTTTATATAAAATTAAATAAATATTTTCTAATTAGTTATTTAATTAAAGAATATTTAATGTTTTGTAATTTCTTTAAACAATACTCAAATGTCCTCGATGAACAATATTTAGACATAATGAGATATTTATAAATTACCAATTATTAATTTCTGTAAATTAAATTAATATTTTAAATTTTCCGAAACTGAAAATTCCAAGTTACTGTATTTTCATATTTTATAATTTTTATTACCTAATAAAACATTATTTTAAAATTAATAAATTAATAAACAAAGAAAATTATAACCTGCATTAATTATTTGATCTTATAATTATTAAATTTAACTTAAAATGGAAAGAAAAATTAACTTCAATTACCTGCTGTTTAGGTTACTCACCTCACCTACCACTTAAATTGAGTTGTGCTGTCAAAGGGTCAACATTGAAGTTTTTTATTTTATTTTTGGAACGTAAAAGTTCAAGAGAACAGGGATTCCCCATTGCAAGCACCTGAGCTACTTAGCACCATACATATTGTATGCAATAAACACCAACTATATTGATTTCTTTTTTGCTGAATAAAAATGAAAAGTTATTTTTTAAATTAAGAATTCTCACAAACCTTTTTAACTTTGTATATTGTTTTATCAATAAAGTTAATGTGACATATTGTTGGAGATGTCATGTGATTCCCTTAAATAAATATATGTACCTCAATTAGTCATTAGTTTACAAAGTTCATATGTTGTGCTTAAACATTATCACTCTTTTTTTTTTTTATTTATTTAAGAAATTAGACATATTTATCCCATTTTTTGAAACCCTAAACTTTGTTATAAGATTGTTCTCTGAAATCAAGAGCAATGTACCCCAAGCGTGTGGTTTAACGATAAGGGTTGATCTACGCTTAAGTAAGGTCAGAGGTTTGAATCATGCCTTGTGTATGTAGGCATGTAACTGCGTTAAATCTTGGAATTAGCTATCCCACCCTTTGAGGTACTTCTAACCTAGCGAGGAGATTAGTCATTGCTATCAACAGTGAATACTCCAAAGACGAACAAAAAAAAAAAATTTCCATTAGTATCTTGGGCAATGGCATCACGTAAGCAATGAATAGAGCAATGTGTAACAGTCACACATAGGCTTATCCTTGACACCGACAAAAGTCTAGGATTTGTCAATAATAATCTCAAAAACCCACTAACTACAAAATACGAATTCATGTATTGGAATCTACGAGAAGAAATATGGTCATAATCTATTGACGTATATGAATGAGCATTGGTTTGGTGTGGAATAGTACCTCACATTAATATCGATGGTTACCATTTTGGCATTTCCTTGAGAAAAGATGTGTTCATCGATTTAACTTTCCACCAATGGACTGGATTAGATCACGACAAACCCATCCACTTGTTATTGCCTCATCAACCTACCAACGTTATCATTCCTTTTTCGCTTTAAGGATTTCAATATTACTATCTTCACAGATCAAACCAAACATTTTTGCCACAAATGTTAACATCTCTTCTTCTTTAATCAAACTATGTTGTGAGAACAGGATATTTACCTATGTTCCATGGTTAAAGCCTTCGCAAGTCAAGTATATACTAGTACTATAGAGAAAGAATGAAAAAAGAAACTATACAAATTAAAAATAAATATTATGAACTGTACGAATTAAAATGAAATAAAAATAACATGTATAAAGATTAAAATGAGGTTTTTTTAATTGTAAGAACTAAAAGATGTAAATAAAATTATAGAGAAAAAAAAGGCAATGAAAAACCAATTTAAAATTATAAATTTAACTATTAAATTAAAATTAGAATAAATCAGGTTAATGAAATTTTTAAATCAATTTTTTTAAACATATGAATAAATAGTGGCAATGAAATTAAATAGTACCAGACGTCTAATTTGTCTAAATTTTATTTTGCATGATCCTTGGATAAATATTAAATATTCAACTGTTAGATTAATAAAATCTAAGTTATACAAAAAATTATAGATAAAAAAATAAAATAAAATAAAAATAAAAAAAGTAACGAGAATTAATCTGAAAGTAACTTCAACCCTCCTCTGCATATATGATGTAATTTTGTGATCTTAATGTATTGGAAATGGCATCAGCCAAGGAAAGCTAAATACAAACAGCTGTGGAAATTCTATCGCTATCTAATTTAGACCTACCTACCATTCATAATTGCACAATATAGTTCCTATACAGAAAGTGATGTCATGGCTAATAGCTGTAAGAATCTAATGAAAAATTCACAATTCTTATCATCTTTTGAAGAATGTGACCATCATATCCTGAAATTGAAGAGAGCCAAGTGTTTGAATGAGCCTCAGAAACAGAGAAAAGAAGTAGATAACCAAAAGCCCTCCTCCCAATAGTGCATCAAGCTTCATATCTCTTCTAATCAGAACAACAAGTGCCCAAACCAATCCAATTGCTAAAAGTGCCAATGTCTCCCACAGATATGGATCTCTAGGGATCACAACAGATAAAGGGTATTCAGACCAAGAAGAGCTCACAAGAGATAGGCCTAATCCAACCACTATGTTGAAGATAGGGCCAGCATAACAACCTGATATTGCTATTTGAGCACCTTCTGATCCACCATTCAAAGCCATGGTCAAATTTGTCACCAAATCACCTAGTGAATTTCCCCAGGCAAGGACTGTTAGTCCTAGAATTGAAGGACTAACTCCACATATGTAACCAAGGGACACCAACAACCCCACCAATTCCTGAGCTGAAATGTAGCTCCATGTCACACTCATCACAAACCCTCCTGCAAGCCAAGGAAACAAACACTTCCTTGGTGGGGTTGACACATTGGTTGTGAGAAGTGCAATTGCCCCTAATATGATCCCAACCAACAATCCAATTGCATACACAATAAGGCTTGAGTTGAAGCTGTTATCAATATATGGTACACACAAGGAAGACAAGAGAAGTGGTGCCAGCATAGCTGAACAAACTGCATACAATTTGGACCATCTCTCTTCACAAACAACAGGAATCGTAAGCCGCCTTGGCAAGTAAAGGGGCATCTCCAACACGAAAAGCATCATTCTACACATTGGAGACTGTAAATAGAAGCACTTCCTCTCGGTTATCATGCCACATTCCTGATCCTGAGCACCATCTTCAAGTCCTTTCTCCATCTCACATAGCATAGGGACACCTAAATCACTGCCACCACCATGATGACATGAATCACCATCTCCACACACACCCTTATTCCCCCGTGTAGATGAGATATACACAACAACCACATACACCACATACATCAGGCAGAACCCAATTGCCCCAGGAACATTGATCTCACCAGTGATCAAAATAGTAAACAAACACAGAATCACCAAGAGAAGGAAACAAACATCTCTCACCAAGGCCCACTTCTTAACCCGAATCCCCCTTTGCCTCAATGAAATGCTCACTATTCCAATCACAACACATGAAACAAAAGAAGCACCCCCAAGCACAGTGTTGAAACCAATGCCCCGGGTCCCACTACCACTGAATGAGACAAGCGTGGCAAAAACATCACTAGCACCATTGCCAAGAGAGAGAAGAGTCACCCCAGCAATTGTTGGAGAGAGCCTCAGCAATTTGGACAAGTTCTCAAGAGAAGGACAAAAGTACTCAGAAGCAGTATTGGCCAAGAGATAGAACAGAACCAAAAGCCAAAGAAACAAAAGCGTGTGACCCAATAGAGGGAAGCCCCCAAATTTGCAATAGAAAAGGTGAAGGTAGTCAACATAGCCCTGAGAGACACATGGATCATTGGATTTCAAGTACAAGCACTTGGCTTTGGAGTCCTCCAAACTGTGGAAACTCTTGCAATCTTGTTCACCACTGTTGATGCTCCTCAGAACAACATGTTCTGAAGAGTGGAAATTAACAACAAGAGAAACACAAAACACAATCATGACGAAAGAGGCGTTCAAGAACAAAGTGAAACCCATGCGTTTGGAGAGAGAAACCATGGTAGGGGACATGTTGAGAGATTATAAAACAAAACCCACTTTCATGATCATGGAAAGATGGAAACTTTATGGTTAAGAAAAGTAGAAAACCAACTCAGTTGGGGTAAAAATCAAACTTTTGATATTATTAGAAAAGAACTAACCAAGAATGGGGAACTGACCTCAAATTCAGTGTTTTGCTGCTTAAATATACTTTCTTTTTGTGAAATTGGTATATGGTTTGCGGAAGAGATCATGAAAGAGAAAAAAGAGAATTTAGCAAAACATGAAGAAATGATTTTGTAGAAAAGATTGGAAAAGAAATAGCAATGAGATGAAAGAGACAGGGAGCGAATATGATGAGTCGCTACCACACACGTCTTGTGTGTTGCGTTCTGGTTTTTGGGATAGGAAAGTTCAGTTTGAGAATGGTGAAACAGAAAAGCAAATTAAGGAATACACACGTGTCGCGAGAAAAGTAGTTCCATTCATGGTGATGAAGTAGCGGAGCACAGAGAAAGAGATGCAACAACGTAAACGGTGTGTTTGTATTTCTATGAAACAAGAATTCCATTTAAATTCAATATTATAAACCTTAAGATTCCTATAGAATCTTCAGCATCCTTTTTTTACCATCGACAAATATTTTACCGGTTTTGAGTTATATGAATATTTTGTATGAATAATATAGTTATAAAAAATTATATATTTTGTAACACTCTCTTACTTTTTAATAAAGAACACATCAAATAGTCTTAAAAAATTTCAAATGCCAATTTTTTTTATTTAATTTAATACTTTATATATATTTTCCTTGTACAGTATTATTTTTAATAATTTTATGAATATTAGGAAATTTTTTTTAAAAATATTAAATAAATTAAATTATAATTTTTTAGTTGATAAAATAGAAATAATATAAGTATTTTTTTAGACAATGATTCAATGATATTATTTATTGAGTTTTGTAGTAATTATATCAAAAGTTATATATATATATATATACATTGGATTTACTCTCCTAAAATAAGGAGTGTATAAAATATATTTATAATTGTTGACTAAAAAATTAATGATCAATAATTGTGATTTATAGAGAATAAAATAAAAAAAACATAATTTTATTATTAATTTTTTAATTAATAATTATTATTGTATTTTAAAAAAAAAATATTTTTTTAATTTTAAGAAGAATCATATTTATTTATTAGTAAAAATATTAATATTCAAACTTAAAATCTTATATATATTATTCCATCACTTCTTAGTATATCACTAAAAGTAATATTAAAAACTATTTTTAATAACTTAATAATATAAGTTTTTATATTAACAATACATGTCTATTGAATTTTTTAAATTATATTATTTATAAAATAATTTTACAATACTAATCTTTAAATTTAATTAAAATGACTTTCGAACTACAAATTAACATATGTGATATCAGTATTGATTTTTTTAACTATTTTAAAATTCATTTTATTTAATTGAACTGAAAGTATATATATTTTTTTACATAAATGATATATGAAAAATAAATTCTAATTTATTATATTATTTTTTTTGTGAATCACATCTTTCCCTCTTATATGTTGTAAAAAAATAAGTAATTTCCCCCCTTAAAATTATAGTTTGAGAATAGTTTAATTTATTTTTATAATTTTAGTCATATCTAAATTATAATTTGTTAATTTAGACTGAATTTTAAACATGCTATAAATCATTAGGGCACAATATCGCTTTCCATATTTCTTATCAGAATTTGTCTTCTATCAATGAGACCATGACAGCTCTTTCCATGCGCCATGCCCAACCTTCGTATCATTTAATCAATTTATTTATAATATATGAAACTCAAATGATGCGAAATGTTAAGTTTTCTTGGACATTTTTTTTTTCTGTTTAATTCGTGATATTTTACGGTCAAGACTTAAAAATCACTGTAATTCTTAGATTTAGATCGTTTTTTGTTTTTGTATTTTTTAGTCTAACGCATTAATGTAAATTAATGATATTAATCAATAATCAATGTTCTCATATTTTTTTATAGTGTATAATTAACTTTTTCTATTTATTATTCATTAATTTCATCATTTTTGAAAGGGACATTATCATACCATTATTGGTAATTTCCAATTAAAGCCGTATTTTCATTTCAGTAACCGTGAATTTTGAATTTTTGATAACTAAAATACACAGTACTAATTATCTAGATCAAATAGCGATTGTAATAATTTGAGAACAACATTAGTAATAATCATTGTAAAATATTTAAAGAGTAGTTACGGTTCACTTGTAGAGTTGTAGATTCTAATTTCAATACGGGGATTATTCAAAATTCACAATATTATATCATCATTATTCCTGCTTAGAAACATTCCTTTGATTGTTCCGTCTTCGTTGTCGACCGGATACTGTTCTCGAAGGGTGGGGAGTGTAACGACCCGGCTAGTCACTACACACGGCATCGCACGCTATCAGCAGTGCGCGCAAAGAAGTGTGTTCTAGCTCTTGGAGAAGAGTATGTTGTAGCAGTAGTAGTGGTGCAGAACCAAAGGAGGGCCATGAGGTGAGAGCTCAGGTCACAGTGAGAAGGAAAAAGCTAGCGGTTTTTGTGTCTGGTGGAGGATCCAACTTCAAATCAATTCATGAGGCCTCCAAAAGGGGTTCACTTCATGGAGATGTTCTTGTATTGGTCACAAATAAAAGTGGTAATGCTCTATCTTACTAACCCTGTACTTTCATTTTTTGACCTTGTGTCTTCATTTTCCTTAGCTAAATTCTTAAATAGATGGCATTAGTAACTGGATTAAGATCCCATGCCCCAAAGATCATTTTATTATTCATGTGGCTCTAAGAAGCAACCTTTTGTGACCTGGGATGTTGGGACTATGTTTTGATTAGCCTTGGTCTACTAAAATTCCTCCTTTTTTATATAATTTTTTTAATACCAGAGTGTGGTGGTGCGGAGTATGCAAGAAATAATGGTATCCCAGTTATATTGTTCCCTAAAGCAAAGGATGAATCCAATGGATTATCTCCCAGTGACGTTGTTGATACACTAAGGTCAGGTCGTTCTTTACCTCATTTCCTGCAATTGTATTTAACTTTGGACTTTGGTGTTTGTTGTTTTAATGAATCTAATGAGTGGATTATCAGCTTTAAAGTTGAAACGCAAATAAAAAAAAAACAAGTGTAGCACAAATATGGCAGGGAACAGAGGTGCTGCATGGAGATGTGGTTACAGTATTAACATTAACATATAATTCATTTTTTGATCAGGAAATTCGAGGTCGATTTTATTCTTTTAGCTGGATACCTCAAACTTATACCAGCAGAATTGATCCGAGCTTATGAAAAATCTATATTGAACATTCATCCGTCACTTCTTCCAGCTTTTGGAGGCATGGGCTATTATGGCATGAAGGTTCATAAAGCAGTAATTGCTTCTGGAGCAAGGTATACTTTTCATAAAATATCTCAAGCATGTTTTATCTATGAAACACTGTTGTACTTGGTTTGTGTTTACTTATTTGTGCTTCATTTTTCTGTGTTGGTTAGATTTTCAGGTCCTACAATTCATTTTGTTGATGAACACTATGACACAGGGCGTATCCTTGCCCAGCGTTTGGTCCCTGTTCTTGCCAATGATACTGCAGAGGAGTTGGCTACAAGGGTTCTCAATGAGGTAATGTCAGACTATATCATTAACCAGTTCCCAAAAATGGTGGCATTTTAAACTGTTGACTGGCTTTAATCCTGAATGGAATTCAACAAATATATTTGTGACAAGAAACATTCATGAACCTTGACATTTATGCAATCAAATGACTCGCAATTTAGCAGATTGACTTTATTTTTATTTCCAAATTTAGGAGCACCAATTATATGTGGAGGTAGTGGAGGCTGTATGTGAAGACCGTGTGGTTTGGAGGAAAGATGGTGTTCCTCTGATCCAAATCAAAGAAAACCCCAATGAGTTTCGTTGATTATCTTTGATATGGTATGAAAATCACTTTTTAAATTTCTTTGAATACTGTAAAAATATCTGTATATTCTACTTCATCTTTTTTACTATGATGATGCCTTGCATCTGATGAGACCTTTGTTTCTGTTGTAGGGGATTTTGGTTGGAGATTTTGCTTATGCAATCTTCACATTTGCCCCAAATCTGTAGCTATTGAATTGTAATTATTAGGCAGGTAATTTCCGGTGGCACTCATGTCACATCTCCTCTAAGAATATAATAAGCAGGTGGATTTTGATACCGGGTTGCTAAGCATACTTTTGGAGTCCTTCATTCCCCACACAAAATTCCATTAACGTATCATGATTTTGCTCCTTAATAAAGAAATTATCTACTATACTATTTGGATAAGAAATTTGATGTGCCATACAACATTTCTTAGTTTATAAATAGAGTTTGTAGAGCAAACGGAACTCTCAACGAATGCCAAAGCTGCTACTGCTATTCTCCCCGTCTTTTGCTATTTCCTATTTTTTTTTAAACATTTTTTAGTAGTGGTACGAACTTTGAAGTATTTATATCATGAGCGTATATAAGATTGCTATTTTTCTCCCAAGAGTGTATTCCAAACTTAAGATTAAGATTCAAATTTTGGATAACTTTATTCTCTTACTACTTATTGTTGAGTATGCTTGATTTCAAGACGGATAAGGCTGCGTCTCAATTAAAATTTTGATTCATGGTAATGTGGAAGGTTGACATATAAGCCTTTTTTTAACATGCATCAGATTCCAAATCACATCTTAAGTATTTAAAAGTAATTAGCTTCACTTTTGCAGTACCGGTCTTTCTGACACCCTATATAATCTTGCTAATAATCTCAACAAATCAGGATCGCAAGTAGTTTGTTCCATTGAAACTTAAAACATAAGGATTTTAATTGTAAACTTTTCCGATTTTTTATTACTTAATTCAAGCTTTTCATGCAAAGTTAGGGTCATTTTATGCAAATTTGTGCCTTCATTGTTGTGGAACCTATGTGCTCTCGAACATAATTTAGGGGAAGAGGCTGAGGCACAAGTACCTCCACCTCTTCCAGACAGCCAAGGGAGAATTATTATATCATTATTATTCCAATAAGTTCTATGACCAATTCTGATACATGCAATTTAATATACAGTTAAAATTTGAGTTAAATTAAATGCTAAAAAATTGTTTAAAAAAAATTATTTTAAAAGCATGAACACAATAATTCACTCAAGTCCATCATATTTTGATTCAAAACATAAGTGATTTGACATTTTGTGTTTATTAGTGAAGGATTAAGTGTTTGAACATGATTTTAGTATGAAGTTGTGGGATGTTACTTTGTTTTTAAATGGGTCGATTTGTCAATAGAGAAATATATCATCTAGTTATATCAACCAAAAATTAAAAATAGTACAACACTGCATGAACTTTAAAATGTGATATAATGTTGACAAAGCAAACAATGAACTTTAAAACCTACCGAACAACGGTAATCCTCTAACAACAAACGCGATATAAAAGTTTACGTTTCACGGTAATGTATAATTAATGAATCCATTCAATAGAATATGCCGCAATGCAAGGTTTTTTGAAGCATTGTCTTTCCATATATTTTAAAATATATGAACATATTTTAATTTATTTTTTATCTTTAAACAATTACTAAAATATGTATAGCAAAAAAAAAAACAGTTTTTCACATCTTACTTCCATCAATAATTCGAGCTTAAAATAATGAAGTACCCAATGACATTTTATTATATTATTTTTTTAATAATTTTATATTACTGGTTTTTGAAAAAAAAAATGCAAGTTTCTATTTTGAGCTCAATCAAATTAAGGAATAAAAAATTATATGAATTGAATTGTATGATAAAAATTGAGGTCAACAAGGTTTTCATTAAAAGTGATATTGAGAGGGGTTTAGACAAAAAAAGATTTGATGCTCCTAATTTTTTTTCAGGCATAATCAAATATTAAATGTGTTTTTCTAGTGAGATTTTAAATTTTAATTCACTACGTTTTAAGTGACTAACCTCTTCCATCACACTCAATCTCATCATAGTTCTTTTTGATGATTTTATATAGGTTAAAACCTTAATTTGGTCCCTTATAATATTTTTTTTTCAATTTAGTCTCACTTTAATTTTTTATTTCAATTTGGTCCCTAATAATTTAAATTAGTGCAATGTCGGACTTCCGTCCAAATTATTTAAACGGAGTTAACTGTTGGTCATGTAGATGTCACGTGGATGCATAGGTGGATGCCAAATTTCTTTAATGCACCTGGAACCAGAACGGGTCATTCGGAAACCAGAACGGGCCGTTCTGGTTTTAGAACGGGCCGTTCTGAGTTCAGAACGAGCCGTTCCAAATGCCAACCACATACGTACGTTCAACAAAATGCCACATTGTGGTTCAAAAATTGAAAATAAAAATTCATAACATAACATAAACTCAAAGACAGAAATATGATTCAGAGACTGAAAAATTCATAACATAATATATACTAAGAAAGTTCAAAAAAATTACTGAGAAGGGAAATCATCTGGATAACGCTGATGGTGCCACTTTTATTCATTAAAAATTAAATATATTGTAATATTTGTTTTGGTACACTAATTTTATTGTAATATATATATATATAAATATGTACTTGTTATAAATTTTAATTAATTAAAATAAATATTTATTACATACATCCTATTCGTACATGTTAAAAATTAATACTAGTTTATAAATTATTAAATTAAAATATTTATTTTAATTATTTCAATTTAAAACACTTCAACAAAGAGAAAAGGAACCGTTTCTGGAATTTTTGACTAAAATAATATTTAAAACGACTACTAAAAATGCTTTTTTGGTAATTTTTTAAAAAAAATAATACTTCAGAAAAAAAATCCCCGTTGCCGCCCCCAGCCAGAGTGTGCTTCTTCGCTTTCGCCAATGACCAACTTCGCGTAGTGACCATTCCTCCGCCGAATCTCTCGTTAGCCCTTCCTTCTCCGCCACCCGCTTCATAGCGCAACCATCGTCTCGCTCCTCTGTAAGTTCTAACGCTCAAGATTTCTGCTTCTATTCTCTCGCTTGCAACGATTGTTGCCGTTCATTTTGTGATTCCGCATCTGTTATTGGAATTTGTGCTTATCATTTGTGATTGTTGCTATGTTGTTTGCGATTTGGGATTTTCCTTCTCATTTTGGTTATTTATTTATTTATTTATTTATTTATTTATTTATTTTTGCTTTCTTCTGTCAATAGTTGCGATTGATGCGAGATTCTTTGTTCCATTTGCCCCCTTTAACCAACTTCACCTTTATTGGCTCCACCACTGCCACCAGAACCCTAGCTACAACCTCGACCTTTTCATCCTTCCCAACAACATCAAACTTGTACTAAACTAAGATTTGTGATTTTTTGCTTAAATTAAGATTTCCATGGAAGCCCAACAGATTCTTCCCAGGTTTTGTCCAAAATCATCGTTAGCTCCATCAGTTACAATTGTGAAACAATCATTCTCTTTGATGTGCCCTCCTTTGCCTTCTTCATCTTCATACGCTTCCGTTCAGTCTGGAGCTTTTCGTGCTATCAGCATTGCGCGCAAAGAAGTGTGTTCTAGCTCTTGGAGAAGAGTATGTTGTAGCAGTAGTAGTGGTGCAGAACCAAAGGAGGGCCATGAGGTGAGAGCTCAGGTCACAGTGAGAAGGAAAAAGCTAGCGGTTTTTGTGTCTGGTGGGGGGTCCAAGGGAGAGTACCTGTAAAGGCACTCCAACGCTCAAGTAAGAATTCGGTATAGAGCAATAAAAACTTTTATACTAGAAAATCATACCTCTTTTCTGTATCTTCACCTATGTATTTATAGTGATGTATTTGGGCATGGTGGACCTTTTATCTTGGGAGATGGGTAATCTTTTGGTTAACCTTAATTGATTCCCTTTAATTAAACGCGATAAACCTTGTGTAATAGATATCCTAACCTGCCTTTGTCCCATGTGGGTTTAAACACTGGGTCTTCGGCCAAGCCTTTAGCCGAAGAGGTATTCGGCTGCTTTCATGACCGAGGAGGTATTCGGTCATCCTCAAGGCCGCGAGAGGGCTCGATCTAGCTTAAGGCCGAAGGGGTATTCGGTCGTATTCAAAGCTGAAGGGGTATTCAGTTTGGATGAAGACTTTGTCAGTTGAGGTGTTTCTCTCAGCCTCTTCCCAGGGTACATTCGACCTAGAATTTAGCCGAAAGGTGTATTATTTGGATGAAGACTTTGTCGATTGAAGTGTTTCTCTCGGCCTCTTCTCAGGCCGAAAGATGCATTCAGCTTAGGATTTGGCCGAAAGGTGTATTACCCGGTACAATTATTTTCCACCATATAATTATTTTTAATATATAACTATGAGATATAATTAGTTGAATGAAACATGAAGTAGCATAATTTTAAAAATGTTATCCACCTATGACCATACATACACGTTGATCAATGTACCCACCCTTGAAACTCCAAAGCACGTTCATTATGTTTTGAATTTAAAAAACAATGAACCTCCAGTTCACACTATATTGTAGGGTAGATGGGGTGAATGAAAATTAATAACATGAAAGAGTAAAATCAAAATAAAATATGTTTATAGTAATCCGTTTAACGTCATCACTCTTCTTTAATGTTTTTATCTCTTTACGTCTTTTAAGCTTTTCACCGAATAATTTACCTATTATTTCAATAATCTTCACGTTTATCATTGTTATTTCGTACAAAATTCATTCTATTTAAGAAAAATTAAACATTTTTTTTTATCTTTTGAAAGATAATAAAGGTGATTAATTGATTTTTAAATGATATTTTTTCTTATATAGAGTGCCTAAATTTTAATTTTATTTCACCGAATAATTTAACTGCTATTTCAATAACCTTCACGCTTATCATTGTTATTTTGTGTGAAATTCATTTTAATTAAAAAAGATTATATGTGAATGATAATAGAGATGATTAATAATTATTTCAATTTTTTTCTTACATCGGAATGTCTTAATTTAAATTTTGTTATACAAATTAATCTTTCTATTATATTCGATTATTAATTATGTTAATTTTTTGAACAATTAATAATTAATTACAAAATTTGGATGCATTTCAATTAGTGACTAATAATTTATTATATTTAAATATTTTGATAATGAGTATTAAAATGTAAGATTATTATTGTGTTTTATAGAATTTTTTATAATTGAATTTTTTTTGTCCAATCATTTTTAATTTCTTTGTTGGTTTTGTTATAGGTTTAGAATTATAAATTCTAAAATATTGAATTTAAATTTAACAAAATAAGTGATAACTGTAAAGGATTTCAAGAAATATTACGTCAATCCAAATTTAAATTAATATTCTTAATTAATCAATAATCATTGTCATTATATATATTTACTTATGGTGAGTAATTAATCATCTCAATATACTATTTAATTAGTTCTGTGATAAATACTAAAACTAAATTAATTAAATATTAAATTTCAAAATTTTTGAAAATATTATTAATTATATTTTCAAATCAATGCATAAGTCTGGTAAGTTATAATGCAAGTGATATTTTCAATGGCTTAAATATGCGTTTGATTACACTATATATATATATATAAATAAAAAAAATAAAAAAAAGGCTGAACACAAAAACTTGCGTTTTGTTTCTTCACATATATCACGATTTGTTTTTCAATATCTACATGTAGGAATTTTGGTAATCATTGATATATTTGTTATAAGATAATTATTGGTATAAAGTGATTCTTGTAAAATATTTAGGTATTATTTATACTTTTTTACATATATACAATTTTATTACTTTACTGATAAAATAAATATTTTTTCATTTAATTTCTTATTTTAGTTTGCATGAAAAAAATCCACGTGATATCTTTATCATACTTTTTTATTTTGTTTTGTTAAGTATATTTTTTATTGATGTAAAAAAGTATCATTTTTATTTATTTAACTTTATATATATGAATTTTGTACTAATCAAGTTAATATGAACACCGTAGTTTATATAAGCTCAATAGTTTTCTATAAATTCACAAGTTTAGGGGAATATAAGAGAACTTAACCTTGTTAGTTATACATGGCTGTGGAGAACCTAAGTAGTTTAACTCAATTAGGAAAGCAGTTGGTAGTTATAGGGAAATAAAATAAAAGGTATATATATATATATATATATATATATATATATATATATATA